AAAAGCCTTATGGAGGGGCGTCTGATTCCTCCAGTCCGATGGGGCGAGCATCAGAGCGCGGCTTCCTTCCGACCGGCCCGCGGGAGGCGGCGACGGGGGCAGATCCCACAGCCTATAGAAACCCTTCGAGTCTGGTTTTTTCCCCCGCGTTTCCCCCTGTGAGATTGTTTGCGTTTCCCCCAACCCGACTAACCCCGCGATGTGTTAATGTGCGATGGACAAACCCTTATCAGATTCCTACGAGGGCCATATCACTGCTAACAAAATTAATACCGTATAAGGCACCGGTTTATTGGCTGGTATACAGGAAGGCTATTATCAATAGGCTTAGCCTTATAAATACAGATCTAAATAAAATGAAACGTGAGCCCCCACGCCGCCTTCCAAATACATTTCTCTACACAAGTCAGGTATAAAAATCACTCCGGGGAAGTCCGCTCTTGCGGTATGTTTATTTTGCATTTGCCAAATTAAATAGAAACGGATTGCAAACCTGAAAGCCATACGGAACCGAGGAGCAACACTTGAAACCCTTCCAAAGCTGTTTTTAAAATAAGCAGCTCCCTTTAAAAAATTGGATTAAAGGAGGGGAAAGGCCTATAAAAGTACGCTGCAATCCTCGTCAGCCGGGATAAAACGACTCGAAATGCATCGGAAGAAACCCGAGTTGGCTTCCTCTCCCTCTCCGCAAGCTGATGCAGGGAAATCAGACAAAAGGCGCGGAGGCCGGGGACAATTTGGAAGGTTTTAAAGTTTTCTTTAGCCTCCTCTCCCGGGTTTTGTGGCAGGGGGCTGGGGGTTCCCCCCCCCCCCCCCCCGCACGGCCCCCCCGTCGGCAAGGCCGTGTGGTGTTGTGTTGACCGCAGGGAACGGTGCCGGTTTGATGGTCAAGGCACGGACTCCGTCTAGATCATGAACTCAGCTCGGCGTTGCACTATCTCCGCTTTCTTTAATCGCTAACAAGGCCAAGGCAAATAGTAACCAGCCTCATCAAACCCAGTGAAGTAAAACTAATAATGTTCGCTTGATTCGTAACTATAAAAGATAATGGTCAATTCTGACTAAACTGAGCTAATTTGGCATGCGCTGGGTGTAGCTACTGCATTTCCAGCTCTTAACAATGTGTCCCTTGGAGCTTAACCCCTATTTAAAAGAAATTTTAAAGAATGTTGTGGACGCCAGGGGACGAGAAATAGTTTCTTTTTAATTCTACTTCTGTAAGTAAAGCTATCCGAGGGTCTATAAAACCGAGCAAATAAAATTTTGATAAATATCAAAACCGGCGAGAAGGTGCTTTCGCGGAGAATCTAAATTCACGGCGTACATAGACAACACTATCAAAATAAAACTTTATTGATCTAAGAAAAATATAATAGATGCATTAATAGCGTCGTTAAGCCGTTTTATTGGTTGGACTAAAATTAAAAACAAAAAGGGAATAAATAAAAACCGACAGCTCAGCCTAAGCAAACTCTGACTGGAAAACTCAAAATGTATCGTGTTAAACCGTGATTTATCTTTTTATTATTGGCCCGTAGAACCCAAAAGATCAGCACTGTTAATCCAGAGACGCATTTTGCGAGCTAATTAAAATATGCTTTTATTTGTAGACACGGGCAAACTGCAATTTGTGAAAACGTAACTGGCCTCGCAGTCTGTTGCAGGAGTGCATGCGCCGCCTATCTGAGAATATACCCGCGGATTACGTTTTATACAGCTCCAAAAATTAATGCAATCAGGGTATAGTTATTTAATATTGGAACTGTCAGTTGTCAGGAACGTGCGTGTGTGCCAGATTCCTCCTTGTCTGTTTTTTTTTTTTTTTTTTCCCCCCCTTCCCTGGATTTGCTCCAAAGAAGGCGTATTTCAAACAGGAGGTTTAGGAACTGTGTCTGTGCCAAGTTAGGTGACAAATGACGGCCCCACTAATTTTATTTTTACTAGAAATTCTTTCACGCTAGGGGCGGGGGGGGGCTGGGGGGGTGGTGGCGGCGGCGGCTTGTTTTGGCGGATTATCCTGTTAAAAATTAGGCTGAGATTTAATTTTATTCCAGCCATCCGGAGGCTTGTTCTCCTAACTATGTTTTATACTATATGTGTATCGTTTTACTCATTTGGATTAGGAACATATTTTGCAAGTAATTCTGACGAGCTCCGAATTCTGATGTGCGGCAGGACAAAATATACCCAAACCGATTCATTAGGGCTTTATCTCCTCGCCATTGCTCCGGCACTGGCGAGAACAACGGGGCTTTCTATTGTCCGGAGAGCCCCAAACACCGTGCAGAAGCCACAACGGTATCGGGTTATATATGTGTCGGGAAAATCTTACATGCCCAAGTCCGTCTTTTAAGTGTACCCCTTCTATTGCGAGAGATGGGCGGCACAGCTGTATTAAGCATTTGAAACTGTATCCCTTCACCCCTTTTTGTAGCTGTCTTTCCTTTAAATAAGATCTGGGCGCATATACAAATACCTTTTTCGGTTGCCGTATAGCTTGGCTCTCAGGCACACACGTTGGCCTGAAGTTTCGATTTCAGAGCATTTAATGAAAAGATTGTGACTAAAAAAAAAAAAAAAGACAACAAAACACAAACCCAAAGAGCTTATGAAAAAGCCTCCCAGGGGTTCGGATGTGGTGTGTGAGCTGAAGTTGAGTACACGATTAATTAAACGGAGTGTAGACACTGAGTTGGCTTCGCCTCTCCCCTCCGAAACATGCAAACCCAAATCATGTGAAATAATAAACAGTTATTGTAAGAAACAAGCTTGTTTTTTTTAAATATTATCCTATGACCGCGGCCGTCAGTAAACAATTCGTAACCAGAGGGCGCTTTAACTGCTGCTGGGGTCCCTTTGATTTATTCAGTCGGGTATTGAATGGGGCAGGGAAACAACAAGGGGAAAAATAAATATTTGATCAAATATGCTGAGTTTAACTTGACTGGTGTAAAATGAAATGTTGCAGAGGGACCCTCAAATCGCCCTGCTCCTTCCCGAGACGTGGCTTCTCACGTCCTGGAGTTGCCGAGGGGAGGTCAAAAGAGATCAACATCCCCCAGCTTTTAATGGAGCATCTTTGACGAAATCGATAGGTTCCGATAATCGCCTAAAAACTGCTCTCTG